ACCACACAGTGGTGGTTAGGAGAAGAGAAATAATCAAAATACACTGCAACACCCCAGTCTACCACACAGCGGTGGTTAGAAGAGAAATAATCAAAATACACTGCAACACCCCAGTCTACCAAACAGTGGTGGTTAGGAGAAGAGAAATAATCAAAATACACTGCAACACTCCAGTCTACCACACAGTGGTGGTTAGGAGAAGAGAAATAATCAAAATACACTGCAACACCCCAGTCTACCACACAGCGGTGATTTGGAGAGAATAAATAATCAAAACACGCTACTTCAGGCCAGTCGAATACCCAGTGGTGGTTAGAAGTCGTGGAAGAGATAAACCTTCCAAAGTAACATTAAGTACACGAGTTTCTACCTGCAAATTCTGGATCATGCTGATGTCATTCAACGAAAAAAATAAATAAATTATGCATAACCTCGTCCTACCATTTATCAAGTACATAAAGATTGTAGTTATTTTGATCTTAATAAAGAGAAGATGAACCTGCAATTYAATTTTGACAAAATTATGTTAGGATACGGTATTGCGTATTAAGAGAGTTCCGAGTTAGGAAAAACAGGTTAATTCAAGCGGTGTAACAAAATTAACTAAAGTCCCAATCGCGTCATCAGTGAAGGATCAAACAAAAGCCATGCGGAAAAACTCTGCATGAATGGGGATATATGAAAAAATAATTAAAACACTAGTTTCTTTCACTAGTTTGAATATTTGATTGAATCTATTGTTTCCAAAATACATCTCTCTCCACAAGGATCATTTCAAATCAAATATTATGTGAATAGAGTGAAGTGATTTTATTGCTGGGAGACTCAACGTCGACCGGACATTTACAAATTCCTCTTTGCATCATATATAACAAGTTTAGAAGCCAGTCTTTGGGGAAAATACAAGCGATCATCGAGTTAACGGAAGTTTGTTTTTTCAACCACTTATTTCGCAGCGATGAAGACTATTTKGTAAGCTTGAACAATTTTCATAAATTTTCAGTATTTTATGCAAGGGAATCATTCCGACATTTTTAAAAATTTTCAGTCTATATGTACATTCTTTAATGCAGTTGCTTTACGGCATTCTGTAGTACATAGTCGGAGCTTTATTGAGATATATATATTTATATATAAAAAGGTCGAGTATACCTGCCAAAAAAACTTTATATTTTTCAAACAATCCGTATATTAACAAAAAAAATCATTAAAATATCAACTAAAAGGAAGCAAAAACAGTGTTTCGCCATCAAAAATACATTTATTTGCACTTAGTAAAACCGATTGACTTTTATTGTTTTCTGAAATGCAATTTGTTGCTGTTGCTATATAAGCGTTTTTCGATATCATATCGAAATAATGAGATGAAGGACTAATTAATTATCTATGCTTTTATGATACTCTAGCGATATAACAATACGACAATACATAGCTACACTTCTACTTGCTGTCTTTCACCACGTCAGAAGCAACTCCCACTGCGTCGGCACCTGCTATTCAGGAAAACTTTTCCCAGAGCCCAAAGACATCTTCCRTGGAAAACATCTCAAGGGATWYTCCTACAASAACATCACSACTGATRATCCAGTCAAGTGCTACTCATCTTGTGTCCAAGATTGTCGTTGTAAGGCGTGTCAGATGAAAGATGCAAGATGTGAGTTGCTAGATGAGGACAAGACTTCTAAAGGTGATGACTTTAAAGCTGAGTCAGGATACGTGTACTTTGATCTTAAGCAGACAATGTATAAAGGGGTAAGAAAACTTCCCACATTTTGTTTCTTTTGATTCTATCCTTACGAATTTGGTATATTTTGACTTCTTTGTYTTATGTATTTAGAAGCAATCCCACATGGTTCCCCCAGGTGTTTGCTATAATGGCTGTTGTCGATCTCAACCTTGTATGAACGGAGGAACATGTGAAGAGCTTTGCCAAACAACCAAAGAAAAGTTCACCTGCATCTGCCAGAAARAATACAAAGGCAAAACATGCGAGGATCAGATACAGCCATCTTGCATGGATATCATGATCGCTTCTAAAACAACACCAAAAAATGGTGTCTATTCGATTCGAAGGAAGGACAATGGTAACATCTTTCCAGTTTATTGTGCATTTGAAAGAGACAGGTCGTGGACCCTAATKGAATCTTCTTCTTTGGAGAAGAACACATTCAAGARMAAGCCATTCMGTCTTGATTATAAGATGAATGCAGATAATCCACMGAGTTGGGATAGTTATCGTTTGTCTTTAGGCAGTATGCTGTACCTCCGTTCCAATTCCACCTTGTTTAGAGCCACTTGTGACTTTCCAAACAGAGTTTCCYTGACACCCGACCTACTGATTGGTCGATTGAGTGACSTGGACATTACAGCCATASGAAACCTTGATGAATGTAGAAGGTACGAATTCATTGATATCATGGGACATACGTGCAGAGATTGCACAGCAAATACCGCCAATGGGTACAAGAAATCTTGGCATGTTCATGTTGATGTTACCTGGAAGAAATGTGACTTTGGTCATAAAATCAAAGTCCCTGACGATATCATCAAAAATACTGATAACTTTGGATATTATGGAGTCCATGATCAGAGGTTCAAATGCACCGCAAATCTACACTCAAC